CCTACTCTCAGGCTTTATCAGAGCCTAGAATTACAGCTTCTTTCAAATTACACATTCAGATATCTTTTCCTATCAGACCCCACATTCACTCAGTTTTCTTCTACATCCATGCTTTGACCTGATGGGCCTCTCCTGGCCACGGGGCCCTCTATATTCTCCCCCACATCCCCTTGTCCCACTGTTCCTTAGCTGCACCTGCTTGGCAAAATTGCAAACTTGCTTGCATCTGTTTCCCTGTCTGCCCTTGCAACTGAGGCTGTGAGGATATCAGGCCTGCTTGCTGGGTGGCACCCTAGGATGTCCAAGGTTCCAGCCTCAGCTGAGGCCTCACTCCTGTTGATAAGTCCACTCCCATTCTCCACAGGGGATGTCTCAAACAGTCACCCTTCTTCTCCTACCTCTTCTCTCCCTTACCCTCAGCAGAGGACTTTACTTCCACCTTCAGAGAGAGAAAAGCAACACTGGAAGGGTACACCTTCATATCAGTGAGGGGCCTGGCAGAAAGAGATGGTCCCTTTAAATGGGGCACTTTGAGAGTTAATTAAAGGAACAACAAATTTTGGAAAGCCAACAAGAGATGGTGCAGCACCCCAAGGCCATCAACAACGGGGAACCCATATGGCCCTTCGGCCTGAAGAGGCAACAGGCAGGAGGAGCGGTTACCAGAATCTGAGGACAGCTGGATGGGGAGGGCCCCAGATGGAGCTGTGGCCTTCAGTAGCGAGAGGCCCACAGAATGCAAGGGAGGCCCGGAGGAATAAATCCCTCCGTCGCTCTCTCCTCCAAGCCTCGTTTCCTGCTGGTGACTCCCAATGGTGGGAGTCAGATGTCAAGTCCATTCAAGTCATCCTCCTGGGATGGATAGCTTAGCTGGTGGAGAAGGGTGCAGAGTGGACCTGGAGGGGCCGGGGAAGCGAGCCTCTCACCCCTCAACGTCTCCCTTTCAAACCCACACTGCCTGCATCCAACCCATCTTCTCCACCTAACTCCTATTACCACCCGAGACGCTTCTCTCTGCAAGGATGATTCTCCCTGCATCCCTGGGAGACCTCACTCCTGGGTGGTTCTTTCTTTTTACAGTTTTTTCCACTGTCACTCATTAGAGTTTCAACATACCCAAGAGTCTCCCTTCTTTAGCGTCCCTCCCACCGTCCCCTTAGCCCCATGTCATGCTGCAGCCATTGTCATGTCTCTCTGCCCAACTCACAATCAAGTTTCTTTAAAGAATAAGCTATGCTGGCAGTCAGTAAGAGTCCTGCTAACTTCTCAGCACATGGCCATCTGGCTTTTGCCCTGAGCGTACTCCACTGGAGCCTTCTCTGCAGGACCTTCCAAGGGACACACCCTGCTCTTCATCTTCTTCAACTCTCAGCACCTACTAAGTACATGGATAGCCCCTCCTACTGAAGCACGCATTTGTCCTTTGGAATACCATGATCTCCTCATCTTCCTCTTACCTCTTGTATTAGTTTGCTGGAGGTGCCATGACAAGTACCACAGCCTGGGTGGCTTAAACAACAGAAATTTTCTCATGGTTCTGGAGGCTGGAAGTCTGAGATCAAAGTGCCAGCAGGGCTGGTTTTTTCTGAGGCCTTTTTCCTTAGCTTGCAGACGCCTGTCTTCATATTCACATGGTGTTGTTCTTCCTCTATGCATGTCTGTGTCCAAATTTCCTCTTCTTGTAAGGACACCTGTCATATTGGATTAGGACCCACCCTAATGACCTCATTTGACCTTAAACACCTTACCTTAAAGATCCTACCTCCAAATACAGTCACATTCTGAGGTATGGGGGAATTGGGACTTCAACATATGAATCTAGCGGTAGGGAGGGGAGGGGCAGTACACAATTCAGCAGGCCGTAACACTTAACTTGTGGTTAAACTTCTCAGCAGCCTCCTGTCTCTGCCCAGTCTTCATAGATGGGGACTCCTTGGGGTGCCTGCCAGCCCAGGTCTTCCTCTTCTCACCCCATGTACTCCCCTGAGTGGCTGCCACTGTTCCTTTAGCTCCAGGTGCTCTCAATAAATGGATAACAAGCCACTCTACAGATCCAATCCCGATCTGCCTGAGTTCACTCATTGCCTCCTAACATCTCTACTTGGTTATCTCACAGGAACCTCTATTAACTTATAAAACAGAATGCATCACCTTCTCTGCAAATTTGTTCTTCCTTCTCTGTTCCTTAGCACTGAGAAATGGCTCCACCATCTATGTCCTCTGCTGCCCAAGCCAGGAGCTTGGGGCCAACCTTTGACTTTTCTCTGCCACCCTCCTCACAATCAATCACCAAGAGCTAAACAGCCTTGATCTCTTCACTTCTCTTCATCCCCATCCCACCATTTGATCCAGGCCCCATCTTCCCTCACCTTGACTGCCACAGTGGCCTCTTACCTAGTCTCTCCAGCAGTCTTGTCTGGGTCCATGCTCCACTCCGCTCTGTTGCCAGATGAATCCACTTCCCCACTGAAAGCCTCTGATGGCTCCCAACTGTTCCTGGCCCTGCGGCAGCTGGCCCACTTTTGCCTCCAGTGTCTTGCCCCCTGTTCTCTAACAACACTGAGCTTCTGCCAGCTCAACCCTGGAGGAAGAGAGAGCCCTGCTGTACTGTCCCTCCCTCTGCCCAGCTTACCTGTGAAGAGGAGAATGAACTCAGGTGGCCAGGGGACTGAAGGCAGCCCCCTTCCCTCACTTTCTCGCTGAATTTGCATAGGGTCTTCAAGGGGGGCATCTACTGCCTCTGCCTGTTTGCCCATTTGTCCATCTTCTCATTCCCCTCTTTGTTCTCTTCTTCCTTTTCTCCACCCCTCCACAAGGCCCAGGGAACCGGGATGAAGTGAGGCCTTAGATTCTTTTTTTTTTTTTTTTAAAGATTTTTATTGAGGAATTGGGGGGATGGGAACAGCGCTGGGGAATTGGGGGAAGGGGAACAGCGCTGGGGAATTGGGGGAAGGGGAACAGTGCTGGGGAATTGGGGGAAGGGGAACAGACAAGTTGCTGTCGTTTTGTTCTTTAGTCTAGTTGTGGAGGGCGTTGCTTCACTGGCCCAAGTTGGCACCATCACTGCGCTCTTCCCGGGCGAGGCAGATCAATCGCCGGCTTCTGGACGGCCGCTCATTGCGGCTGCTGGCCGCTCATTGCGGCTGCTGGCCGCTCACGCTGGGTGCTGGCTACACACGGTAGCCCATGGCAACCCACTGCCACAGGGGCTGCAGCCTACGCCGTCGCCGGCGACTCATGGCAACCCAGCTCCAGGTTGAGCTGTTGTTCAGCATCTTAGCTGTAGAGGGCAGTGTCACTGGCCCTCATATGTGGGATCCGAACCGGGGCCCTCTGGCGTCCCAAGCCAGTTCTTAACCATCGCGCCACTCGGCTGGCCCAGGCCCTAGATTCTTGCTCTGGCTGAGGAGGTGTCCTTGTGGAGAAGGAGTCAGGCTCTGACCTTAGACAAGGCTGCCAGCAGCTACCTCATCTCAGAGTGGGGCATGGAGAAGGAACACTTCTCAGCCACTGCCCTGGTACTGCACCTGGTACTGAAGGGAAGCCTGGGCATGTGGGGGTTAGGCTTTGCGGGCAGTGGCTAAGAGGTTCCTGTTTGGGGGGTGCTAACCAGTGGCAGGAGGGTGGGTGAGGCGGCAGGTATAGGAGCAGCTCTGGGAGACTGAGGTAAGCTCCATTTGGAAATGAGGCCGGGCTCCCTAGAGCCTTGGGAAAGGGTCACTCGTCACTGCCCTCATCCCCTGGCGTCCTGACTCTCCTTCTAACCATGGCCTGAGTAGGAGGAGGGAGGCCCTAGGGGCCAGCGGGTGGGGAGAGGGCCAGGGGAAGCCACATTCTTGGAGTGTTAATGATCTCTGGGCTGGGCAGGAGCTGAGCCCCCAGACCAGCTAAAAACAACAAACAGCTCCCAGGAAGGATTTTCATCTGTCCTGAGAGTCAAGGATTTCCGCCCACCCGATGGGGGCTGTGACCAGTGGGGCTCATAGCAAAGAAATTCCCCAGAGACCAGAAGCCTCCTGACCCGGAAGTATGTAAGTGTGGCTTTGGGAACAGTCCCCTCCCCCATCCCTTTCCCTCCTCCCACCCTCCTAGGGAGGCCTAGCAGCCCCTGATTCTGGGGAGGGTGAGAGAAGAGTGGGTGAATTCCTCACCCGGTCTCTCCAATTTCTTTACACCAGTCCAGCAAGTGATGCTGTGCTTGACATTTTATACCTAAGGACACCAAGCCTCTGCTAGAGAAGATACTCCACACACATCTGACCAAATGAATGGGTGAATAAAGAAAGTGACTGGCTAGAAGTCACAGTCATGCTGGGGCCAAGCTGGGGCCGGAACCGAGGTTGGCCTCTTCCCAACTGTAGAGCTCACCTCTACTGCATGGTCTCTCTGCCCTGGGAGGCCATCAGCTTCTCCCTGCAAGAGTGGAAGATGCTTGGAGGCCCCCGAGAAGAGGCCTGCCCTCACTCCCTCAGGAACTCTGGGCAGTGCCTGGAAGCAGAGGAGCCAGAGCTCTCAGGGGGCAGCCAAAGCCTGCGGAGGAGTCAGGAAGGAGCAGAGTTCCCAGGGCTGGTGCTGGGCACACTGCAGACATTGCAGGTACCGTTCCACTTGGCTCAAACCTTTTCTCCCTATGAAGCCTCTCTTGGCCCCCAGGCAGTCCAGAACGACCCACTGCCCCACTTCCACTCCCCCTCTCAGTCCCCTGGATATAATCAGTATGAAACTCTACCAAAATCCCTTATCTACCCCAGTTCAGCAACCGCTCTGTAAAGGGGGTTCTTCCTGTGGAACTTCAACTCACCACCTTTGTCCTGTTTCCTGCCCTCACATGCTCTTCCATCCTTTCATCTCCCCTTCCCTCTGAGCCTCCCTGGGAGGCCTGGGTCTGCACCTTTCTCAGGGATCTTCCCACAAAATCGTCAGGTAGCCCACTGACTTGCTCCCACTGTGTCTCAGTGTCCCCACCTCTCCCACCTACAATTCACAAAGCTAAGCCCTGGTGCTGTAAATCCATCATTTATTGCCCACAGTTCATTAGTATTACATAAATCACAGAGACTGATACATTTTCTGAGGTTAAAAAGACACTGCAATGTAACCTGGATATGACCAAGGCATGTGTACTGGTGCCTCATTCATACTGGCCCAGGGCTGGAAAACCACCTTATTTCTGTCCTTTGGATTCTCCTCTCAGGACACCACCCTTCTGCTAGGCTGGAGCCCCAGGAGAGGAAACAGCCCGCCCCCCCCACCACCTTACCCCCCCCCACACACACACACACACAATCAGGAAGTGGAAAGGGGTCTGTTGGGCATCTTGACTCGGCAGCCATCTTGACATCTTGGGCTTTTGGTCCCTGCACTCAGATTGTTGTCTGGAAATGGGAGAAGGGCATCCCCAAGCCTTTGGAAATGTCTGAAATGGTTAGCGGAGAGTCAGGCAGCTACACCAGGATTGGAGAACCAGTTGCAGGCATGCCCTGTATTCTGGCACAGCTGGGCTAGCCAGCCCCACCCTGACTGTGGGTTCTGGCTCGGCCTCCTCCCCTGTCAAGAAACAATCTTCCCATGAGGCCTCCCTTCTTCTGGCCTCAGCAGAGTGGAGGATGGAAGTTGGCTGAAAGTTTCCCTTCATGGTGTTTTCCACAGCCAGACCAGGGCTTTGCAGCATGGCCTGCTGAATCTCTGTCACCACCACCTGAGCTATAAAGATCCTTTGCCACTACCACCCCTTAGCTCACCTGAAATTGCATTTGGGAGCATGACCAGAAATCATCCAGGAGACAAAGTAAGTAGGTTATGAGATGAAGAGGCCACAGAGCTGGGGCTGGGCTGGGGCAGCCAGCATAGAGGGGGAGTTGGAGAGACCCAATCTCTGCCAGGCCTTTCGAGGGGGTGGGAGTGGAGCTTGGGTGGGTAGTTTTGGTCCCAAGGTAAAGTGCACAAGAATAAGACCCAATGAGAGGAGGGATAGAGTGAGCTCGAAGTGAACTTTGTAAAAGAGGACCCAGACATGCCCAGCCCCTGTCACTGGCACACTCATTTTAGGGCAGGAGTAGCTAAAAAACACCAGTCCCTCCAACATCATGGCACCCCTTCCCTCTGTTTTGTCTTCTATGCTTATCTCTGCCTGCTCTCCTTCCTGATGGGCAGTGGGTTGGCTGCCTCTTGGGAGAGTGGAGGGCCCTCAGGGCAGCAGCCTGCATAACTAGCTGGGAGGCATTAGGGCCTGGCTAGGGGGTGATGGCAGCAGGGGCTTCTGGGGGGATGCATGGTGTCGATGCCTGTGGACACCCACCTCACCACAACTCCCCCACCCTAAGGACAGTGAGAGCTGCCCTGCTGGCCTTTTCCTGCATGTGCATGTATTCACCTCCAGCCAGGTCTCTCCCCAGCTGGAATCAGCAGGGTAGGGGAGGCCCTGTGGCTGCATGTTGAGGGCTCCTTCCAGTTGGGGACAGGTGAGGTGTGTGTTGAGACCCATGCTTCCTCCTTTTTGGGCCTTTCCGATGAGGGGGTTACCCTGTTAACCCCCAGCTCTGAAGAGTTCTCTTCTTTCCTGGCTTGCAAATGGAAAGGAGATGGCAGCAGGCGGTGTCGAGGCCAGTGCAGGGTGAGAGGCGGCATGCGGGGGTGGCCCCCTACTCAGGCCCAGGCGTCCACACTCCCTCCTCTTTCAGAACTGTTAAGTGTTTGGCCAAGATCAGGTGCTCCCAGGGTGTGGGGTCACACACATAAGGGCAAGGTCCGGGTTCTGAGGCCAACTGCTGGTCATTTCCATGGGGGCCTGCCCCTTTCCCAGCCCAGCGTCCACGTTGGGATGTGCCTGGGATGACCAGCATCGAAGCAGGACAGGCAAAGACAAGACCGAGCTGGGAGAGCAGGTGAGAACCTCTTGATCCAGTCCTCTGGTTCTGGGCAGAGAGTGGAAGCTCAGAGGAGGGAGTGGGCTTGTCCAAGTTCACACAGCCCTTTAGTGCCAGAGCTGAGACCTGCCATTCCTGGGTTGATGCTTCCTCTCAAACAGGTGCCTAGAGATCTGGCTTCCAAACTCTCAGGCACGAGACCCTTCCACTCAAGCATCAGTGGGAGGGGACAGGCAGCCTCGGTGGCTGGAGAGGCCTCCCTCCGGCAGTCAGCCCAGCTCCAGCCCCAACGCCCAGCTTCCAGCCTGGCGCCCAGAAGGAGGCTCTTCCATAGTGCAGAAATGCACCGGAGCGCACGCCCATGGCGCCGGCCTAACGTTGTTCCTTCATGGGGCTTCCTGCCTGGAGCTGGGGTCATCTCAGGGGCCTCAAATGGATCAGGGCTCCATGAGGGGTAACACCAGCCCCAGTGTATCACTGGGCTTCATGCAGAGGAACTGGTTCTGCAAGTGTGGCATGGGTGAAGGCCGGCCATCCTCAGAGCCAGATGCCCATGGAAACTTCCAGAGGCCTCCGGTGCTCCTTGATTTCCTGGGCCGCCTTCTGAGGCCTTAGTTATAGCTGGTTCATCCTGTGAGGTGTAGACTGCTTCCCCTCCCCTCCCCATCCCTGCCCAGCCCGGGGAGACATTGGTCTTGGCCACAGTAATATCTTAAATCTACCAACCTGGCTTTACCAACTAGATCCCAGGACTACTCTTAACTCCCACCACCTGTCCACCTGCTAGCAACAGCCTATCTGGGCAGCTGCAACCAAGGCTTGGTTCTGATAAAAAATAAAAATAAAAAAACAAAGTATAAAAGGATCCTAATTCTACCCCGTGGGCACTCTACAATTTTTCAGCTTCACACATAATTGTGCTGAGTAGAGTTTTGATAACCCCACGTAAGGCCCAGAAATGCACTTGATTATTTTTTATAGGAAATGTGTCAGAATTCCTCTCCCTTATGTTAACGTGTGAATAGATTAGTCTCCCTACCACTGTGGATGGAGGTTCCCCCCACCCCAGGTGGCCCAGGACTGGTGGGGTCAGCTGCTTGCCCCTCCCTGCAGGTACAGCCCATAATACCCCTTCCCTGCCCCCACACCCCTGGCCTGGACAAGGCCGCATCCCCAGGCCAGCTGGCCACCACTCACAGCCCCTTGTTGTACACCACTGTCCGGCTGCTCGTGGCCCGGGCAATCTCAGGCTCTAACTGGGATGTTTCGATCTGAGGAGAGAGTGAGAACAGAGGGAGGAAAGGTAAGGGGAGATCGGAGGGGAGAGGTGAGCGGGGAAACTGGGAATAGTAGTTAGGACTACCCTGAGGCCCACAGTTTCCACCCACCCCCACCCACTCTGGCACTCCAGCCAGGGCCCACGTGTGCCCTCTACTGACACGTCTTCCTTCTTTTCTACCCTCCTGCCAAGGGGCTCACAGTATCTCTTCCCGCCCAGATCTTGCCGCTTCCTCTGACAGCCTGTCCGTGCGGGTAAACATCCTACACTCTGGCCTCTGAGCTGTGTTTTTCTCATCGCCAATGACCTTTCCCACTGCACTGCACAAACCCCCTCCCAGGGCCACACCCTGGACCTGGTCACTACCCAGACTCCTTAAATCCAAACCCCACCCTCTAGGACCCAGCAGTTCCCTATCCTTTCAACACCTCACTCACTCTCCCTCCCTGTTTGTAGACCACCAAAACCTCAGGCTCCAGACTCCCTACATCCCAGTCTTCACATCCTCCCCCTCCAGCCTGGACACAAGGGGCCATCACTTCAGCCACTCCCTGGCCCCAAGGTCCTTCTAGCTCTGACTGGCAGAAGCCCTGCTTTGGAGGAAGCCAATTGTACATCCACCTTATCTCCATCTGAACCTGACCATCTGAGACCATGCAACATTCACTGTCTCTGACTTTGGCTGGACCCTCACAGTGGCCAGGCAAATCCCAACCCCTTGGCCCTCCCATTCTCCACAGAGGCCACCCCACCCTCAGCTTCCCACTCATCCTGAGCAGATGAGCCTTTTTTGTATCTAAGAAGAAAAAGTATAATAGAAGGCATCAGAAGGACTCCCTCAGTGTCCCATCATCAAACCCGCGACCTGTGTCCATACTCTGCTCCGCAACTGCCCTCCTGCTATCCCATAGCGACAATCCCTCCCTTCAGAAGCAGATTCCCATGAGCTCCATTTTCCCCCTGTTCACTCCAGGAGCCCAATCTTGGGACTGTCCTCCCTCTTTCCCAGCTTTTCTGTTCACTGACTCCTGCCCACCAGCATTTCAACACAGACAAGAACCTTCTGTCTGAGAAAACTTCCTCTTAACCTACTGTGTCATGCTGTAGCTACCGCCTGGTGTCCCCAACAACCAAGTTTCTTTAAGGTGTTGTCTACAGTAGCTGTCCCCACCTCTTCACCTTCCCACTGACTTTTCAACCCACAGCAAACCTGGCTTGTGTTACCACAACATTCCACAAAAATCTTTCTCTCCAAGTTCACTGCTGCCCCCCTTTTTGTGACATCCACTGGACACTTCTCAGGATCCCCAGGTACACACCCCCTGGGTGACTCAATCTTCCCGGTGACTCTCAGATTGGAGGCGTCTCCAGCCACGTTTCCCCCCTGAGCCTCAGGACCACAACTGACTGCATACTAGACCTTTCTATGGATGTCTCACAAACCCAACTAAAATGGAACTGAATCAACCCCTGCTCCAACCCAGCTCCCCACACTGTCACCCAATGGTGCTCTGGCCAGAGACCCTGGGGCTGAGGCAGAAGGTGCCACAGACCAGCCCTGACTTCAAAGAGCTCAGTCACACCCAGGCTGTGCACATCAGAGGCCAGGCAAAGGGGAATTTGGTGTGGACTAGAGCTGGTGGGCATGGCAGAGTTCCTGGAGAAGGGGGACCCTTCCTCTGTAGTCCCTGGTACCCCAATACCCAGGCTTTGACCAGTTGAGAGGGCCAAAGAGACAAGAGCTAGTCTCAAGACCTGGGCCTCTTCCCCAGCCCCTCTCCTCAAACCACCTCCTCCGTCCCCGTCCCCACCTCTGCCGGCCTCTGAGTCCCCTCCACTCCACCCGTTCCCCTCATCCCCACGCTGCCACTGACACAATGCACAGCGCCCACGCTTAAAAATCTAAATGCTTTTGAAAATGTTTAACCTAGTTAGACAAATTAGCAAAAATTTGTGCAAAACAATTTAGGTATTTAAAATATTCAATGTTTTTAAAAAACTGGAAAACTGTTCTTAGCTTTCAGCTGCAAAAACCAACAAAATATAACATCCCAGCAATCTTACCATGAGGTGTAACATAACCCTTCGGGAAAGCTGTTAAACAGCTACTGAGGCATCCTGGGAAATAGCACTTCATTTATTCAAATGCACATATGTCAGGCTTTTGCACCATATGTCATTCCAAGCTATTTACAGTAATAATTAAATCTTAATCAACGTTTAACCTCTGTAAAATGTTTGAAGAATCCTAATCACCCTTCAGACTGCACTAATGAAGGAGAAATATATAAACATAAAAGGAAAATGATGCATAGATATCACACTGGAAAGAACAGTAATTGCAAAATTGTATTTCTTTTAAATATAATCAGTAAATGATGTAAAGTAAGCCAAGGAGTATTTTAAGTTAAGACATCTTGGATGTCAGAGGTGTGAGCAGCTAATTTTGTTCTGCTACCCATAACAGATGTAGCATATTTTATTTTAGTGCCATTATTAGCAACTTCCCATGCCGGCTTTCACTGAAGCACTGAGGCCCGCATGAAAATCGGAGAGGCTGCTCACCGCCACAGTGGAGGGCCACAGGCCGGGGCCGGGGCCCACTCGGCCCACTCCCTGGAGAGCACCGGCCCCGGTGACCTTCCCAATGGAAGCTGTCACAGACCCAGGGCTCCCAGGCTCTCCGCTGTGCTGAGGGCAGCAGGTAGGAGGGAAACACCCTTCTCATCAGGGCTGGGGAGACGCAGGCAGTGGGAAGGTTCTGCGGGAGGAGGTGAGTGAGGCGCTCAGGAGCAGGGCCATGGGGACAGAGCTGGCAGTTAAGGTTTGTCCTCTCATTTCAATGCAATCAGCCCTCAAAGTCAGCAGGTGTTTGTGGCTGCTGACTCCATACACCATGGCTGGGCACACAAAGATGGATAGGATCAGCCCGTGCCCTTGAGAAGCTCCAAGTCAAGGGAGAAGTCAGATACGAAAGCAGATGATTCCAGAGAGAAACAAAGTGCCATAGAAACCGGGGAGAGGTTGGGGGTTCCCGTGTACTGAGGAAAGAACAAGGAAGGCAGGCTTCTCAGAGGAGGTGGGCTAGGAAGAAAATAGAGGGTTTTGATGAGCGGGCAGGGAAAGCTTGCTATGTGAAGGGAAAGGCATTAGCTGGCCAGCATGGCCTGTTTGGTGTGGGCAATGTTGGGCATGGGGGGTATGTGGCAGGAAATGGAGGCGGGGCTGGGGCAGGCAGGCCCTTGTAGACTGCATGAAGGTGTCAGCATTTTATCTGAGGGCCATAGGGAGCCGTGGAAGGAATCTGAGCAGGGGTGGGCTCCATTTTGGAAAGGCTTCTCTGGTGGCAGTGGGTGTGGAGGACAGGCTGGAGGGGTGAGGTGGCAGCTGTGGGAATCAGAGAGAGGTGCCAGTTCCTGCTCTCTGATGCTGCCAGTGGAGCTGAGAGGAGGGCGCACACAGGGGATCCTTTCTGAAGATGAAATCCATAGGAGTTGATGACCAATCCTATGTGGGGGTGAGAGGGAGGTGTCGAGGATGACTGTGCATTGGATGATTCCTAATTCTGGCTCGGGAGCTGGGTGGCTGGTGATGCCATTCTCAGAGGCAGGGAATATGGGAGGAGGACAGGTCAAGGTGGGAGGGTGATAGGCTCAGGTTTGGCCATGTTGAGTCCCCCAGGGGTAGAGGTCTGAGAGGCAGACAAGGCCTGGGGCCTGGAGCTCAGGGCAGGAGTCTGGGCAGGAGAATGAGCCTGGGGTGTGTGAGCACAGCCAGAGTCCCTGGAGTGGAGGAGCTTGCCCAGGAGAGCAGATGGAAGGGGAGGGTGCCAGGTCTGGGGAACAGGCACACTGAGGGGCGGGCGTAGAGAACAAGCCCATGATGGTGGCCTTGGGGGACCAGCCTGAGGAGCAGAAGCAGTGACAGAGGGTGTCACAGATAGATACGAGGCAGCGTGGACACCAGACAGAGTTTTCTAGGTGATCCCAGAGAGGGCTGAGGGGCTTTGATCTTGGCACCGGGATATGGTGACCTCCAGAGTCCAGGTTTCTTAACCTTCACTCAGCACTGACCCCAGTCACAGCCTCTGACCCAGACTCACAGTCCTGGACCAACTCAACTGGCTGTTGGTGAAGGCCCCTCCAGCTCTCTGGCCACAGCTGGGGGTTGGGTCAGTGGCTCACCATCTTGAGGTCTCATGGGTGTCAGGACTACTGGGGGTCCTTGCATGGCCACTGGGCTTGCGAGGAGGGCTGGGGCAGGGACGCCTGGGTTGCCGCCCCCTTGAAGATCACCTGCCCGAGGTAGGGGTGCTGTCTCCTCCATAGAAATCACATCCAGGGCCCTGCTGGTAAATGAATGTGATTCAGGTCCTGGGTGAGGACGATGGAGTGCCCTGTTGTAGCCCTAACCAGCTCTGGAGTCTCCGAGGTAGGGACAAAGGGTTTTGCTGTTCTTTTGGGGTCCGCCTACTGTTTGGGGGGCTTATGGGTAAGGAGCAGAAGCTGGCTGTATGTGCCACATTGGCAGCAGAATAAATGGGCTGGTAGCTACAGTGGCTCAAGGGCGGATTGTGAAAAGGGGAGGTGCCAAGGCCTAGTTGGAGGAGTGGGTGCAGCAAGGAGGTACAGCACCAGCTCAGTAAAGGCTGGAGCCCCAGTGGGCTGAGGGCAGCGGCTTAGTTCTGACCACAAGTGAACTCAGAGGGGCCTCCTTTAGGGAGAAGGTGACAGGACAAAGGGGGCTGGGCAAGTGGTGGCCACAGGGAGAAGGAGTGACCTAGCTACAGGCTGCCAGTGGGGGACAGGCAGGAACGTGAGGGTCCCTCTGTTCATCTGGTGGACTCTTCCCCAGGCCATTGATGGCCAGTCAGCTGCCCTGCTGGCATTTCCTGACTCTGAGGCAGACCCTGCACCCTCGCTCCCAGACAGCCTCATCTGGATTGCTGTCCCCCACCAATATCAGAGCTCCAACCCCATCCTCCAAACCCAG